TTTTTTTTTTTTTTTTTTTTTTTTTTTTTTTTTTTTTTTTTTTTTGCATTTGTCTGACTGTTCATAATTTTTTTTTAATTTCGAAGTGATTATTTAACCACGCTTTTTAGCTAGCCGATTACTCCTTCATACACATGTACCCTCCCAGGTGTGTATTTTCTTTTCCGCATTTTTTAGCCCTTAAACCACACAAGTGTTGTCTGCACGTTTGATCATAAGTGCTTCGATTCTCCCGTTTTATTTGTGATAAAATTTGACCGCAATAACCCAAGTGACACTTAATATTTTGGCCATTACCGCTTGATGGACGTGGTACTTTTTTCTTTTGCACACTTGCGGAACTGCTATTGGGGCTTGTTCACAAGTGTTCATCATGATGAAGAGCTCTGTTTGTATGGTTTTTGCAGGATCCTTATTCACCCTGTTTTCAAATTATTTTTGTTCTCGCTTTTTTGAATGAGGCTTAAACTCTTGAGCGTTGAGCGGTGTCTCAATTTGCACGCCTGTAAATCTTCGTACGTGTCCACGCCAGCAGACTACGTGGATTGCATAATATAATACAAACCGCTTCATGGAATGGTTATTCTCTCAATTTTCCGAGGCGTGTGCACACATTACGTGGATAGTTCCACCCCCTTTGGTATGACCACTTTTGCTGAACATAGCAGCTCGCGTGTACACCCCTTCTCATCCGCTGCAATTTTTTTTATGTACCCTATTTATAGTCCATTAAACGCATACAAATTTGTGGCAACGAGGGCAAGGTGGAAAGAAAGTAGGAATTGAAAAAAAAAAAAAAAAAAAAAGGGGTGAATTTACCTCACCAGTTAACCTCAGTTCAATTATCCGCTATGCCACATGAAATAACTTTTGCGGCTTTCATTTTTACACCTGTCTGGTGGAGCTAAACCGTCACATATTTGGCACATACATGGGCATAATGTGTTAAATCGGATGATGCGCAGGATGTGCATAGCATGTACACCTTACATACACCACACTTACCCTATATGTGTGTACATATGATGGGGAGCCATGCAAGAACTCGCTTTTATGAAAAAAAATAAAGAACAGATCTATTTTGCCGTTAGGACTTTGCCCTTTCGGCTACTTTGCTTCTTTTTTTTTTTTTTTTCAAAAAAGCGAGGTCAAAATGTTAACGCGTAGTAAAGAAAACACCTGAACAAATCTGAAATGTAGTAGAAAAAAAAAAAAAAAAGAAAAAAAATGAGATAAATTGCGATATGTTAGGATCAGGACAGGTAATAAAAAACATGTGCACATGTTAGCTCCTTTTATTTTAAAGATCAAGTACCACCCTGCCGCAGTCCCTTTTTTTTTTTCCTTTCCTTTTGGTGTTCCCTTCAATGCAAATACATGCAAATTGGTGTACGAAGGTTACTGTGTTTACCTCTTGACCTCCTCATCATTTGCAGAATTAAAAAAATGAAGCCTGTTTTGAGACATGAACTAAGCATGCGTGCACGTACGTTGGTGCGCGCCTTTGTGCACACGATAGGACATATCTGTACATGTCCATGTAGTGACCTACATAAGGTTCATGTAGAACGCTAATGGAACGAACATAGGTCAACATCACACGGAATGGTAAGCACATCCATGCATCCCCTGGCGATGCATGCAGAAATAAGAAAAGGTTCCCATGCCTCAGGAGGTCTACATTCTCCGCATGCATTTTTTTATTATTATTCCCCCCACAACTTCCGTTGTAGTAACAGCATTTAAGGGTAGCAACCCCCCTCCAAGCGTCATTTCTACATGAGGAATTGCCAATCCATGTGCATGCTTATGGAAGATAAAAAAGTTCTGAACAATTGCCCCTTTTTTCATAACCACAAAATTGCTCACACACAAAAGGGCTGCAAGCAAGTATATAAAAATGTTTAAAAAAATGTTTTAAAAAATATTTAAACATTTGTGCATTTTTTTAAGCATTTTTTTTTAAATTTATATTTTATAATATATTTTTCACATAATTTTTCATATTAAGTCTTTATAACATACTTATCGTAAAAACAACAAAACCTTTTTTTTTGCGTGTTACATAAGTTCGAACAAGTTCTGTTCTTCTTGAATAAATCTGCATAAGGCAAATTCACGCACATCGGAAAATATACATATATATATACACAGGCATATATTTTTAAGCGGCTTAAGTTAAGCAAGCCGAACAACCACAGGCGTATAAGTGTAAAAAATTTTCCTGCACATACTTTTATATACATGAACAAGATGAAGAACTTCATTCTCTTGGCCGTTTCTTCCATTCTGTTGATGGACTTGTTCCCCACACACTGCGGGCATAATGTAGATCTCTCCAATGCAATAAATTTAAATGGAGTAAGCCTCAATAATGTAGACGTCAGTTCACTTGGCTCAGCACAGGTAAGACAAAGTGCTAGCAGAGGCAGAGTACTTGGTGAGAACCCAAAAGAAGAGGAAGGAGCTGATAAACAAAAAAAGAAGAAGGAAAAAGAAGTAGAACCAAAGAAGCCACGTGAAAATAAGCTGAAACAACCAGTAGTTCCAGCAGCAGGTGGAGATGCAGATAGACCAGCAGGTGGAGATGCACATAGACCAGCAGGTGGAGATGCAGATAGACCAGCAGGTGGAGATGCAGATAGACCAGCAGGT